GAGAGGGAGAGCCTGCCAGGGTGATGATGAGGACATGGGGACAGGGAAGGTCAGGAGGCTGTTTCCTTCTGGTTGTGGCTTCCTTTTGACTAAACTCTCATAGTGGAATATACAGCCAGAACTGGGGGGAATAGCTCACTCATTCCTGTGCTTGACCATCATCAACTCCTAGGGATTTAATGGCAAGTTAAACACAAAGCTTTTATTGAAGTGTGTTCCCAGAGCAGACTGTGTGCAGTGAAGGACCTAGTGTCCTCTTCCAGATGACATTGAGGGAAAGATAAAGTGGCTGTAACTGCCCTTTGTTAAATCATGTGTTTGAGGTTGATAATAATTGTTTCACTCTTGTTTTTGCTTTGCTGAATCCATGATCTTCTAAAAAGTGTAATCCTTATTCCAGCCTGTCACAAGTCTCTCCAAGTGCTGTGTACCTGTGTGGCTTCAGTGTATCAGTTCTTAGGTTTTTAAGGAACTTCTTGTGCTGTTAAAAGAAAGCAGTCTTGGTGTATGTTGTAGCCTTTGTTAACAGTCAGGTCCTTGAGTAAATGAATTTGTAGTTTAGGACTCTTGGTGTTGATTGTCTGGAAATGCAGGCAAGTTTCTGGGTTGAAATAAGTAGAAACAGGGTTTCCTGAAAACAAACCTGCAGCAGATGTAAAAAGCAAGGACTGAAGTGCAGGAGTGAATTCCTTTGCAGACCTTGCAGGAGAGCTCTCTCCTGGGTAAGTGGATGTCTTGGGGTTAGAGTAAAAAAAAAGCTAAAAGAGAAAACTGTGTGCAAAATCACATTCTTAAAGAAAATGTCCAGCTGGAAAAATTAATTTCCCAAACCATCCAGCTCTTAAGCACTTAATGGGAGAAAATACTTGCATGGGAAGGAATATTAAACCTCTGCCTTACTTGGGCTTGTGCCGGGATACACAACTTCCAGGGACCTCCTATTTCCAGCTGCCACAAAGGGTCAGAGTCCTGCAAAGGTGGCAGGAATTTAGACCACATCCAGAAAAATGTGGTCCTGGTGGTTTTCTGATGGCACTGTGTGTAGGACTGTGGTCTTGGGTAATTGTTCTTTCCAGCTCCAGCAGCTGAAGGAGACAGGGAGAAGCTCTTTCATCCCCTGAATCCTCACTAATGACTGTGACGCTGCCCTTCCGTAGAGCATCTTATCAAGGGAATCTCCGAGTGCTGTACACACTCTAATTAAGCTTCCCAGCACCTGCCTGAGGTGAATGACTAATATGGAACTGATTTTTGTAAAAAGCAAAAAGGGAGATGCAATCCTTGCATGGCCTTTCCCAAAATCATGTACAGAGAGTGATGGGAACTGGCTTTAGTGATTTCCCATCCCTCACCTGAACTCCTGGGAAGCATTCAGAGTTCTCAAAATACCTCCAAGTGCAATGTCTGTTTTCCATCTACAAAGGCAGCATGGATAGCCTTGAAACTCCAGGACAGTGCCTCTCCTTGAGCTGATGGGAAGTATAAGCAATAAATGAGAGCACATTGATTTATCCTGTATTAGATCAGATACAAGATTCTCCTTTGCCTCCTGCATGGAAATTGCTGTAGCCTCAAGTGGAGTTTCAGTGTGTTCAGAGCAGAAAGTACAGCTCTGAGTGTTGTACAGGGAACAATGGGATATTGTCTGTTTCCCCACACAATGGATGATGGCAAGGGGAAGAAGTCATCTTTCAACTCTGGGTTTTTACAAGAAAGCAACTGCATCTGTTATTGAGGGAAAAAATAATTACTGGGGAGATGGGGGAGCAACTGCACCAGCCAAGTGCGATATTTTCTAGAAGGATTGTTGGAAAATGGGAAGTTATAACTTCAAATGGGGTTTCAACTGAGCCTTTGCAATCTCAGTTTCTGCTGCCTGAGGAGTAAATTGTCAGGAAAACTAGAGCCAGCCTGGTCTTTGGGGCAGAAGGAGAATTGTTGACATGTGTGTCCCAGTGTCTGTGCACTGCTGGGAAGGAGCAGGTGGCCCAAAGTGTGTAAAGAAAACAAGATTTCACTGTTGGTGAGGTTGGAGGAGCTGCCCCAGGTGTGCTTGGTGAGGAGTGTGGGTGAGGAAAGCTCCTGAGGCTGTTGGTTGTGCCTGTAAAACAGTGTGTTGTGTGCTGTGCTTCCCAGAGTGCTGGAGGATGGATATCCTCTGCCCTTGCCTTGGGTCTGCACTGTTCCCAGATGGAATGTGTGAAGGGGCTTGCAGCAAAGCTGTTCTTTTTGGAATGGTGTGGTGACTCATGATGTTTCTGAACCTAGTTTAATTACAACTTTTATGAATGTTGTATACACCAAAGTTATTTGTTTTAAAATTCCTTTACTAACCCCCAGTAGACACATTGAGGATGGCCCACAATTGGGGCAGTTAATGTTGTTCTTCTGAAGCATGTGGACTGCCTGGATCCTGATGTCTTCAGTGACCAATGCAACCTGAAGTGATACAGATCTCTTCTGTGTTGGACCTGGTTCCAGAGCTTGTTTATGTCAGCAGTGAGGGAGCAAATCTGTCCACATAGTCCACAGCTTCAGCTGATCATGAAATCACCTCAGAGAACCACAGGATGGTTTGGGTTGAAAGGGATCTGAAAGACCATCTCATTCCAACCCCTCTGCCATGGGCAAGGGACACCTTCTGCTAGCCCAGGTTGCCCCAAGCCCCATTCAACCTGATCTTGAACACTTCCAGGGATGGGGCAGCCACAACTTCTCTGGGCAACCTGTGCCAGTGCCTCATCACCCTCACAGCAAAGAATTTCTTCTCCATGTCCTATCTAACCCTGTTCTGTCAGTGTGGAGCTTGTCCAAAGTCAGTAGTCAATGAGTCCCTGCTCCTTAGATGTCCCTATTGCCTTCTTCGTACTGCTGCTTCCTTTAGTGCTGTTCATGAATGAAAGAGATTTCCAGGTGTAAACCAAGTGTACAATTCCTGGTGGGCTGAGGGAACAGAGAACAAATCTCTGCCCTTTGGGGAAATGCTACAACCACACAAACTCTTAGTAGCTGTGCTTCTTGAGGAACCACTTTGGCTGCTGT